TGTGTGTTTGTGTGTGGGTATATATATGAAAAATTACAAAAATAGGCTGCAAAATTACCCCATTCAGATGGCCATTTCTTCCCGGGGTGGTTCTCTCTGGCACTTGTCAATGAAAATGCATTCACCTTCTCTATTTTGTGGATCAGTTGTAATACTTAATATTAATAATATCTACTTAGATTACTCACTGACGGATGCTTAACTGTGTTTATATATATATATATATATATATATATATATATATATATATATATATATATATATATATATATATATATATATATATCACTTGAAGAAGAAGAAGAAATCGCCCTAATGAAGTGTCTAGCCCAGAGCACCGACCTGAATCTAAGAGTAAATGTTTGGAAGATAATTGGAGAAAGGGCTCAGAAAAGAAACCCGAAAAACCAGGATCACCTAGGGGTTTTATTGAAAGACGAATGGCAGGGAATTACTGCTGATTTTTGCAAGAAATTAATTAGATTATGTGGTCAACGATGCAGAGAAGTCAGTGAAAATAAGGGAATGTTTACCAAATATTAAATTTTGTTGATATTTTGTTCACAATCAAGTATTAACACGATCTTTCCTTAACTTTTGTCCAGTAGCTTATTTCATTTGTTCCATTTAATCTTTATTTTAAAAAAAATCTATTATGTAAATTTTTGTAACTTTGTATAATATTTATGCATTTCACCCTAATCTTTATTCGGTAAAAATTTCATTGCTAATCATGCATTACTTTTTAAGTAATACACATATTTATGTCTTTGTTGTTTCTGTTCCTTATATTATGGCCGCTACTGTATACATACAGATATATAGATTGATTATGTTTGAATTATGTTACTTTTCCACAGATTCGTATGTACAACTATGAAGCACATTCAGTTCAAAAACTCTTAAACGCATACACGTTTGTGTCCTTCCGACTAATATCTTCCACTTTGTTGATATTATAATAAGGTTTCGAAGAGGATCTTTGTTTAATATCCGGGTACCATGTTTGTTACATCGCCTTTTACTCATGCTTACTTCTAGTTTATACTGTTGTGGCCATGTTTATCTTGATTTGAACCTGTTTTTTTTTTTTTACTGCTGTTACAGTGTAAACATGGCCGTTCCGCTAAGAAAGACGAACAAGGTGAAGGAATCTGAATCTTCAGAGAATATTCTACGGCATCGATTATAACTCGTCAGTTCGCCATTAAAATCTCTCGAGTTTGCTTAATATTCTCATCAATGGTTGAATTTCACGGGCGTCCTTCTCCTTCCTCATCATTTTTTGGCCACTTTTAAACTTCTCAGTTCACTCAGAAAAAATTATCTGCATCGTCGTCGTATTGTGTTAAAAGCCGCCGATTAATTTCAGCCCCATGACACATATTCCTACCAGAGAAATCGGATCACTGCTCTAGGTGTTAGTAAAACAGAGACAAAATTCGTGCGCCTAATACAACAGTGTGTTGTAAATAAATAATATTAAGTAATTAATAAATATGTAATTATTGATTAAGTGTTGTAAAGCCAATAAAAGGCAATAATGTTTGGTGCGGTATAACTGACAATATTTTGATTGTCCATTTGACACTCACATGGATAGAATTGTATATAAGTAACTATTCCATTTAGGCAAATATATATATATATATATATATATATATATATATATATATATATAAAAAGAGAGATATATATATATATAGAGATTCAATTTGCATCTATCCTTTCAAAATAGGTTCTAGTAAGTTTTATACATTTCTAAATGTATTCGATACCTACTGCTAGAAAATCCAGTCCACTATGCCATGTGAGACTGTTTTCTTTGTTTTTTCAAAAGACTCTATCTTACACCGTTCATCCATGCATCGAATATTACTCCCACATCTGGTCTGGTGCTTCTGATTTATGTCTAGACATTATTGACAAATTACAAAAAGCATTCCTAACGATATCATTCATATCGATATTCAGTAACATTTTCACCACCGTAAAGTAGTTTCAATTTGCCTCCTCTATAAATATTTCCATGAGAATTGTTCTGGTGAGCGTCCTTCGTTTGTCAGTTGACTTGAGGAATTTGAGCGATTTACTAGATTGCCAGTGATGTCTCATAATTTCACTACTGATATTGCTAGTTCTTGGCTGATATTTTCTCCCCTAAAAATTATCGCTTGTGGAATTACTTTATGGATTTCTGTTTTCTTGTCAACTAGAATCACAAAAAATTTAACTGCGATGCTCTTTTATTGTCTTCTATCTTTCTTTCACGTTCTCTAATCTCTTGAATTCTGGTGACGTTTATTTCTTTGCTTGGTGTCAAATGATTAACATATATCTCTACTCGATGGAGTATAAACTGAAGTATATTTACAATAATTAACGTTAATGATTCTTTACAATTGAAAAGGGAAATTGTCGTGAATAATACATTGATGGTTACTTGTCCTTTTTTGATCATTAATTTAGAAAGATATAATGAATTAGCAATTGTGTTAGAGAGATCAGTAAGTAATGTAGACAAAAGAGGAAACAAACTTGTGGCAATATGGCGATATACTAGGTGATTCCTGCGATAGCCTGACCGGGGGATCGAAACTGAATAAATAGATTAGATATTAATTATTGTGCACGATTATCAAACCTAAATGACATCAAGGGAACGAGTTCAAATCTACTTACAAAAACTCAATTTCCCACTAGGAGACCTCTAGACCAGACAGAGATTTCTTATCTTTGAGCTTTTCAAAAATCCGAAAAGTTACATCTTCAGATTACCAATTATTCCAATCTTTAGATATTTCTCCTAGTAACAGCATAAATTTTTTGAAAGTCTGCAAAATCCCATGATAGCTGTAATTTCGAGAACTATAAGATGTTCAAGCAAGACTGACGTATCATGTGAAAAATATAAGAAAATAGAAAATAAGAAATCAAAAGTGTAAATACATTCATTTTTAAAATGTTTCCGTTGAATTCAACTATTCACCAACCTAACGAAATTGTAGAGATTCTATCATACGCTTTTATTTTATTTAATGAGAATTTTTATCAATTTATAAGCATGATTGTTATAAAAGTTCATTAAGTGAAAATTAAATCATTTTACTAATTCTTAAAAAATTCGGTCTGAATGCATCTTTTCTTTTAGTTCATCTCATTTTTTCCGAATTTTTACGCTTTTAAGACAATTTTTGGCAGGTTTTTTCTTCATACGAATCTGTGGAAATATTGAATAATTCAGATCTGAGATATATAGACCTTATCGAAAAGACACTTTATATTGGAGATCGGTTTATTCTATCGATTATCTTGTGATTCTAAAAAAGGATAATATCAATTTCATAAACAAGGCGAAGAAGCAGCGGCGAAGAGTTAAATGATTACCTGTACTAAAAAACACCTGCAATATACGAAACGCTGTAACAACAGCAACAACAATGGAAATAATGTGATTCAAGAGGTTTAATTGATGTTGTTTATATAGAAGGAGTGTTATAAATATATAAGTATGCTTGATACGATAAACTTTTGACTTATGTTTACAGATGGAATACGAGTTTCAAAAATGCATTTAAATCGAAAAGAGATGGAAGGAGAAAGAAAAATATAATGAATGAAAGAATGAAAGAGAATTGAGAGAATGAAAGAGAATTGAAAGAATGAAAGAGAATTGAGAGAATGAAAGAGAATTGAAAGAAAGAAAGAGAATTGAAAGAATGAAAGACAATTGAAAGAATGAAAGAGAATTGAAAGAATGAAAGACAATTAAAAGAATGAAAGAGAATTGAAAGAATGAAAGACAATTAAAAGAATGAAAGACAATTGAGAGAATGAAAGAGAATTGAAAGAATGAAAGAGAATTGAAAAGAGAATTAAAACAATTGAAAGAATTGAAAGAATTAAAGACAATTGAAAGAATGAAAAATTAAGAATTGAAAGAATGAAAGAGAATTGAAAGAATTAAAGTGAATTGAAAGAATGAAAGACAATTGAAAGAATGAAAGAGAATTGAAAGAATGAAAGACAATTGAGAGAATGAAAGACAATTGGGAGAATGAAAGACAATTGAAAGAATGAAAGAGAATTGAAAGAATTAAAAAATTGAAAAATTGAGAGAAATGAAAGACAATTGGGAGAATGAAAGACAATTGAAAGAATGAAAGAGAATTAAAGAATGAAGAATTAAAGGAATTGAAAAGAATGAAAGAGAAATTGAAAGAATTAAAATTGTGAATTGAAAAAAAAGAAAAAAAATGAAAGAGAATTGAAAGAATGAAATTGAGAGAAAAGACAATTGGGAAATGAATTGAAAATGAAAGAAAAAACAATTGAGAGAATGAAAGACAATTGGGAGAATGAAAGACAATTGAAGAATTGAAAGAATGAAAGAGAATTGAAAAAGAATTGAAAGAATGAAAGATGAATTGAAAGAATGAAAGACAAAAAGAAGAGAATGAAAGACAATTGGGAGAATGAAAGACAATTGAAAGAATGAAAGAGAATTGAAAGAATTAAAGTGAATTGAAAGAATGAAAGAGAATTGAAAGAATTAAAGTGAATTGAAAAAATGAAAGACAATTGAAAGAATGAAAGAGAATTGAAAGAATGAAAGACAATTGAGAGAATGAAAGACAATTGGGAGAATGAAAGACAATTTAAAGAATGAAAGAGAATTGAAAGAATTAAAGTGAATTGAAAGAATGAAAGAGAATTGAAAGAATGAAAGAGAATTGAAAGAATGAAAGACAATTGGGAGAATGAAAGACAATTGGGAGAATGAAAGACAATTGAAAGAATGAAAGAGAATTGAAAGAATGAAAGACAATTGAGAGAATGAAAGACAATTGGGAGAATGAAAGACAATTGAAAGAAAATTGAAAGAATGAATTGAGAGAATTAAAGAAAAAGAATGAAAGAGAATTGAATTGAAAGAATTGAAAGAAAATTGAAAATGAATTGGGAAAGACAATTTAAAGAATGAAAGAGAATTGAAAGAATTAAAGAATTGAAAGAAAAAATTGAAAGAATGAAAGAGAATTGAAAGAATGAAAGACAATTGGGAGAAAGAAATTGGGAGAATGAAAGACAATTGAAAGAATGAAAGAGAATTGAAAGAATGAAAGAATTTGAAAATGAAAGAATTGAAAGAATGAAAGACAATTGAAAGAATGAAAGAGAATTGAAAGAATGAAAGAGAATTGAAAGAATTGAGAAAGAATGAAAATGAAAGAATTTGGAGAATGAAAGACAATTGGGAGAATGAAAGACAATTGAAAGAATGAAAGAGAATTGAAAGAATGAAAGAGAATTGAAAGAATGAAAGAGAATTGAGAGAATGAAAGACAATTGAAAGAATGAAAGAGAATTGAAAGAATTAAAGTGAATTGAAAGAATGAAAGACAATTGAGAGAATGAAAGAGAATTGAAAGAATTAAAGTGAATTGAAAGAATGAAAGACAATTGAAAGAATGAAAGAGAATTGAGAGAATGAATCGATTCGTTTGTAAATGAATAAAATTATACTTAATGAATAACTGAACCTTATGAATTTAAAAAAAAATTGACTAAATAAAGGAAATGATTAAAAGAGTCACCAAAAATAAATGTTTATGGTTACGTTGAAGATTTTGTCTCGATAAAAAAGTTTCACAGACGCGGATGCGCTACAATGGACAGCTTCCACACAGCTGCGTCTGTCCAATTTCAGTTCGAAGATTGGCTCCACAAGTGGCACTGTTGCAGGAAACCTTCAACGGTAACGCACACTGGGCTCTTCACCTCGGGTAGAAAATATAAAGTCACTTCACTGACTAATCAATTGTACTGAGATACGAACCCAGTTACTATAATCTGAAAGCGAAATTTTGAAATCACTCGGTCAGTTACACACAAAATACACATACAAGAGAGAGAGAGAGAGAGAGAGAGAGAAATAGTGAGAGAGAGAGAGAGAGAAAGAGTGAGAGTGAGAGAAAGAAAGAGAGAAGGGAGAAATCAAACCTAACAAACATCGGCGAATTGCGTCGTCATAATAGTTTTTTTTTTTTTCGGATAGTGATATATCTCGTGCTAAAGCACACACACACACACACACACACACACACACACACACACACACACACACACATATATATATATATATATATATGTGTGTGTGTGTGTGTGTAAGCAAATATATGGATATAGATCCGACAGTATGAAGAAAAATACAGAAAAAACAAACAAGCTTGAATTTTTATATGTTTCTAATGTTAATTATGTTTAAATGAAAATGTCCATGAACATGGTCTTAAATAGACCGAAACGTCCGACGTCGACTTTATATTAACATTAATACAGCATAATTGCATGTTAAAATTTTTGTTTGTTTTTTCTGTATTTTTCTTCATACTGTCGGATCTATATTCATATATTTGCTTACATACTGTCTACTGGAAATACAAACCTGAATTTACTTTATAACATGGAAGACTTCAAGCTTTGAGGAGAATATATGAATCTATTGATCAAGTAAGGAAAGGATTTATTATCGAACTGTTTTTTAGAACTGTTCCATCGTTTTTTGAAATTTTTTATTTGCTTTGTAACGTGGAGGACTTCAAGCTTGTATGAAGATATAAGAACCTATTGATCTCTGCGTATTCCTATATATTCAACGGAAGGGATTTCTAGAACTGTTTATATAAAATAGTTCAATCGACTTTTTTAATATTTTAATATTTGAAAATCATCTTCGAATACGTTTTCACAACATCGCCCACGTGACGACAACGTGATCATATTCAAACGGAACGCTGACCTTGTATAATAATTTCAGTTATCTGTTTGGATTAGTTGTGCTCTTATGTCCATCGTCTTTTGTGTAAAATTTTTATATGTTCTAATGTTAATTATGTTTAAATGAAAATGTCCATGAAGATGGTCTTAAATAGACCGAAACGTCCGACGTCGACTTTATATTAACATTAATACAGCATAATTGCATGTTAAATTTTTGTTTGTTTTTTCTGTATTTTTCTTCATATATATATATATATATATATATATATATATATATATATATATATATATATATGTATATATATATATATATATTACTTCGTTTGTAATGGTTAATTTAGACGTTTATCTTTATGAGACATACAGGTAATACTTCCTTTATTATTTGTCTACCTTATATTATCAGCGTAGAAAAATAAAACCAATATAATATGCGAATTCTTATAACCAAAAGAAGTTCGCAAAATTCTGTTTAAGTTGGTCATACCATCACAACATTTGCGCGTAGATTAACTTACTTTGTATCTGACGAATATGCAACCAGATCCCATATATATTCCTACCAATATAAGATCCCCATTTGAAAATAACAGGAGAATTTATACAACATTAAATTCAAACAAGTATTTTAAATTCTCGAAACTATTAAAAAAATAAAAATAAAACAATTTCATAAATACTCTTTGGTCCAAGAAATATAGTTGGAATTGGCAAGAAAAATTAACCAGAATAAATTTTCCTTGTTTATGTTGCAGAGGTAAAATTGCCTATACGGAAAACAATTGATTTCTTTGATTTATTTTATAATGCCTTCATTTCAGGTAAGATTCTTAAAGCTTAATGACGTTCTTTAAGAGAAACACCACTAGAACAACAGTCTGTGTACAGTATCTAATTTACTCCTAACAAATGTATTTGTTACTGATGATTCGCAAACAATGTTCAAAGTCGGTTCAACTGACACCTGCATTTTGTACAAACCCTTCATAGTCTTGAACTGATCTTTCTTTTCACTTATCGAAAACAAAAGAAAAGAATTAGAAAATTGATAGAGTATAATTGTATACGAAATTTCTTGATAAAAAAAAAAGTTTTTCACTGCAATTTCCTTTCAGTGAAAATATTCGCCTTGTGGTAACATGGGATTGCAAATGTTAGAATTCTCATTTCTCACTTCTCCCGCTCAGACACTGGAAGACAATAATAGCAGCAAATACAGATCATATGAAATTTACTATATAATATTACAAATAAAAACGTTCTCCTTGCAAAAAGTTGACTTATCTTGATTAATAGTAAGAAACTGAAACAGTGAAACATTGATATATTTTCCTGATAAAAGCTGTGGAGACTAACCTAGTAATACAACTGACTCATCCCACTACAGAGCAATAACCGTGATATTTTGAGTCCCATACTTAATCATATATGATGCCGTGGCTATATCACACTTGACATAAGTAGCTTTTCTGATATATACCACAGAAACAGACATATTTTTGAATCTGTTTTGAAATTGTACTTTTTTTTATTTCTGAATTCACTATAATTAAATTAGAAAGCCTAAAAATAGTGATCGTCTCTAAAATATTTTGAGAGAATACAAGAAAAGATAAAGCTACAGGTCCGGTAAAGAAAAGTGAATGAAGAGTTAAAGAAATAAACTAAACAAGGAAACATTTGCCTGTGTGAAATCTTAGACTTGATTATTGCATCTTTCCATTGACTCGATGTTTAATTTCGAGACAATAATGAAAGTTTTTTTTTTTTTTTAACTCCGATGTCATTTCACTGATTTATTTAATGGACTGTTTTTCATTTGTTACTTCGTTATGTATTTCTATGTCAGGCAATATCGAAGAGGAAAAGTACAGCAAAAATGAATAGATAAATAAAATATCAGTAGATTACGAAAGGAGCAAAGAGGATAGATGTTAATAGTATAGGAACTCGATCGATTTAATAAAATGGAAGATAAGGAACTGTGTCCGGTAAGGAATTGGGAGAAAAAAAGGAAGGAGAAAGGAATTTGGCTGAATTGTGAAGAATGTAATAAACACAAAAAGCAAACCGTGAAAAGGTCGATGTTATAAGAAATAATGAAAGAAAGAAAAGACGAAATGAATGTGGGACGATGAAATTAATAGGAATTGAAAAAGAAGGAAAAGTTAAGAGAAAAGAATTAAAAAATAGATGGAAAAACAAAGAATGAAAAGAAAATGGAGGAGAAAAAAGAAAATCACTTGAGAGATAAATTAAAAAGGAAAGCTAAACAACGATAATATGGTAAAGAGATTAAAATAGAAAGAGGGGCAGATACAAGAGGGGAAAACAAGCAAAAAATGGTTAACTGGAGACAATTTCCGTGGAAACTTATAAAAAGCAAAAATGAAATGTGAGAAATAAAATTAAAAATTGATAATGAAAATAATATTCATAAACAATCGAAAAGGAAGTTCAAGATATTTACATGTAGAATTTATAATATAATGGTAATGAATAATCACGGAAAATCAGATTATTCTAGAACATCACCCAGGATACATTAGACGTGTAACAATTAATTTTGTATTACGCTGATTTACTTTATTAACGGTAAAGTTAAACCGCAAGCAAATTACCGGTTGATTGATTTATTTTTATTTTTTTGTGATTATCAACCATTTGAAGTTTATTTGAAGTCGAAACATGCAAGTCGTCATTTTATATTTTTACTTTTATTATATTTTTAATTTCGCGCATGCGCATTGTTTGCCTATTGCACAGTTTAATAATGTCAGTTTGGAATCGTCTGTGAGAAAAAACGCACAATGACGCAATTCACTCCGAGAGAAATTTGGAAATGGCATTCTCTACTCATTAGTATTCGCACCGGTAGCTCCATTACAAACATTTCAGAGTGTTTGGGTAGCAATTTGAGAAGAGTGCAGAGGATTCGGAAAGAGTTGTCTGAGTCTAATGGTACGGCAAATCGTTCTGATAAGAAAGAACAACAGAATTTAATGGTGAGAACCTCAGACTCAACACGGAGGCGTACATCAAGTACCATGAGGAGATAAGGCTGACCTGGGTCAAGAGGGTCACTAATAGATGATCCTATATCTGGCAACAGGAGTGTATACCATGCCACACAAGCAGGAGTACCCAGTTATGGCTGTAAGACAATTTCTGCAACCATATCACTTCTTACACCTGTACACCTAACTCCACAGACTACACCCCAATTGATTATTATGCGTGGGGTGTAGTTGAGCGAGAGACTAACAAAACTCCTTGTAACACCAAAGATGAACTGAAATCAAGGATTACGGCAAGATTTGCTAAATTAAATAAGGAGACCATCCAAAGAGTTGTATGAGATTCTGAAATCGCCTGGAGTCTGTGATTGAAGCTAATGGCGACTTTATTTACTTTTTAGTATTTCAAGATAATTTTTTTGTGTAAATTTGATAAATATATCTGTTAAAAGCAGATGTCAGTGTCATTTGTATGTCATTTAGACGACAATTTATCCATCGCGCCCCCTATATCTGTTAAAATGAGATGTCAGTGTTATTATGATTTGTGTGTCATTTAGACGACAATTTATCCATCGCACCCCCTATATCTGTTAAAATGAGATGTCAGTGTTATTTTGATTTGTGTGTCATTTAGACGACAATTTATCCATCGCACCCCCTATATCTGTTAGAATGAGATGTCAGTGTTATTTTGATTTGTGTGTCATTTAGACGACAATTTATCCATCGCACACTCTATGTCTGCTAAAATAATTAGTATGTTCCTACATGTCAAAATATAACTCATAAAAAATACACAAATTATTTTTAGAGGGTTTACATGTTTGATTAGTTGTTACTATTGTCTTTTTCTTTCTTTTTCTTAGAGAGTGAAATTAATGACAAAATGGTCTAGATCAAGATGCCCTATTAAGACCATTGTGCTTGCACACAGTAACACAACCAGTATATCTTTTACCATCAGTAGAACCCCTGTTATAACTGGAGCGTACGCGACAAGATGAACCATCGGAGACCATCTGGATGGATAAATATTTTAATTACCTATTTAAGGAACACGGATACATCGAGGGAATTCTATGAATCTATATTTGTTAGCATATTTCGTACACAGCAATAGGAATGGATTCACCGATCATAAAATGAATACAGTTTCGATTCAAACTCAGATACTTGTGTCCATAAAAGCTAACTCTTACAGTAATAAAAAAAAAACTATATCAATACATTTACGTAAGAGTTTAGTACTCTTTTCTTTGGTTCTAAATATGTTTTCCTGTTTGATAATAATCTACCGAACAGTTGAAAGGCATCTTCCGATTTCAGTGTCTCACATTCCCCTCAATCATGGCCCTCCTCAATATCTTTTCCCTTGTAGCTCTTAATAAACTTTATTTATGTTATTTCTTTTAAGCCCTGATCCGACAACCATTTACTCCAGCTTAGTAAGTATGTCATGCTTTCATTTCGCTGTTCATCTTATCCTCTATCTCTCTCGTGAATATCAGATTTTCCAGGCCCTCCTTCCTAGAAAGTCTGTTTCTTCCTGATGTTAATTATCAGTTTCCTTTTTGTTTCTATTTCCTTTTAAAATTCGTCGTTGCTCACACATTCGCTATACAATATGGTCATCATCTTTAGAACTACATTTATGTTTGCATCAAATTTGCTCTTCATCTTTGAGTAGATCGTCCAGTCATACAGGAAGGCACCTATTAGGTAGCAGCTTAGTCTTCATTCCCTTGTTTCTACTAATCACCTATGATTTCCGATGTTATAACGTAAACATTTCATCACAAATATAAAGAGTAAAGAAATGCCGAAAAGGAAGAAAACAAAATGCATGAATGAAAAAACAAAAGGAAAAGTGATATTTTAGGAGAGAAAAAAAGAAATGCGGAAAGAAAAAGAAATTAAAATTGGTAAGGAAATGGAAATAAAGATAATAATGCGAACAACAATGAAGAGAAGAAGCTATTGGAATTAAAGAATATGCTGTCTGTAACCCTCAAATTACAATAAAAATACCATGCTTGTGAAAGAAACGAGAAATCAAATAAAATATAATTAATGTTGACAGTCCGAATTACGTAAAACGCGATTGAAAACACGCAGGCAAATCAGTACGAAAGAAATAGCGTTTTATTCGTGGGTCAAACATCGTCGAAAAGCAATAAACATGATAGACATAGACGTGATCTACGGACTTTTGCGTTCATTTCGCCGTAACGATATAAGACTCGGATGTGGAGGTCACTAGCAGACATGCAAAGGTTAAAGTTATCACATCCGATCGATAGTGTCCAGAGTGACCTGAGGCTGTTCTAGCCACTCGCTCGACTGACCATTCGACCTGAGGGCTGAGACAAATGCAACCGAACGCTGTTAAGTGAATGGGATGCATTAGTGCTGACCGAAAGTAAAAGCTATCATTGTGTTTTTCCTGTCTTGCTTGTTGCGTCTTTTACGTGCCTATATTCTATAGAGGAAATCGATCATTGTTCAATAAAATGGCGTCATTATTATATCAGTGAATGTTATAGATATATAATAATTGTCTAAGCTTTGAACTGGCGGACGTTTTGAAGTGTTTCTCAAAAGTTATCGAATTTACGTCAAGAAATTGCAATCACACCCCACCATAAACACCTCTCTCTCTCTCTCTCTCTCTCTCTCTCTATATATATATATATATATATATATATATATATATATATAGTACAGTTAATAAATCCGTTGGTATGTAATCCAAGTGGATCCTAGTAAAATAAAATTTTAATGCCGATCCACAAAAAGAGCTTATTATATTTATCATAACAGAGCAATTTTAAATTATATAACTTAATCCAAAACTACTCAATATGGAGGACGTAAAAATTTATTTCATCCAATCAGAAGTACGTTAGTATTATTCAACCTCCGTGTACAGACTGTTCGGGCCAGCATTAGAAATTTAAAATTTAACTTTGACACCAGTAGAAAAACTGATTCAGAATTTATCAATTTCGATATTTCAGTCAGACGAAATGCCCGAGTCGGTGGTAATGGAAGTTATTAGCCTTAAAGGTGGGTGGTTTTATAAAGTCAACCCGAATATTAACATTAAATTTGGGTTATATGAAAAATTATGCGTTAAATTGAAATTAAACGATGGCCGAAAAGGAAGTTATATATATATATATATATATATATATATATATATATATATATACTATACAAAACATGCAAACTTTGCTTGGAAGAAGAAATAGCTATCATTACCTTCCTCGACCAAAACAAATTACTCAATAAATGATCCGAGCTCATCTCAAAATGCAGATATGAAAACAAATTCTTACTACTTTACTTAAAAATCGAAAACTAATAAAATAACATAAATGAACAAAATGCCAATAAAACAAGTAAACACAAATCACAACTGTTAGAATAGACGAAATAGATTGAAAAAATAAAAATGAAAAAACAAAATCAATGATCCTAAACAAATAAAATATATAATAAACAAATTAACAAACCATTATCACCAAAATATTAATTAGACTCTAATAATCAAACCAAAAATCGGACAAAAAGATAGCTATAACTGTTACATAACGATAAAAATATACTAGATTATATAAAAGATTATATAAAAATATACTGTATAATAAATGAATAATAAAAATCACGTAAAATAAATTAAACTCAATTAATTCAAATAAATAAATAAACTAAAAAACCGATCCTGATAAATTAACCGTTAAAAAAGAAAACAAGTAAAGCTAATCAATGCAAATAAATAAATGAAGTAACAAACAAATTAAGAACTGCTCCCGGCAAAATAATAGTTAGAATAAACTACAACAATCAACCCCAAAATTGAATAAATATCTTTAATTATCTTGCCAAACCAAAAGAAAACTATTAAATAAGCGATATAAACAAATTTTTACTACGTTAATAAAACACCGATTAAAATAAAAATAAAAAATAAAAGTAAGCAAAAACAAGCAAAATAAGTTAACCCATATATATAAATAAATAAATAAATAAACAAATAAACGACTTCCGGCAAAATAACCGCCAAAATAGACTATCCACAATACACTACTGAGTCGTATATATAAATAGCCGAGTAAAACAAACAACAACAGCCTGCCGCCTCTAAGTGTTGACTTCAATGTTTACTTTCATAGATATATATATATATATATATATATGTGTGTGTGTGTGTGTGTGTGTGTGTGTGTGTGTGTGTGTGTGTGTGTGTGTGTGTCTGTCTGTCTGTGTCTGCGTCTGTGTGTCTGTGCCTGTGTGTGTGATATGTCAAAATATTTAGAAAACTTGTAGAAATTTTTTAAAAATCTTATCTCTTAGTACAAAAAGGATCTCATCTACAATCCATGAAATAACTATATATAGAAATAAATTCAACCGCAAACAATTTCGATGTAAATAATGTCACAGTTACTGAAAGACAAAGCAACTGAAGAAGATGGAAAATCCTTGGGAGTGCCGCAATCAAATCTTTCCAAAGTAGAAATCTTCGGACAGGATTTTTCCAAATATCTCCTTTCTTAATACTACTTTCCCAAGCCAACACGTATGACCATTAAATTTAAAAGGAAACGGTTGAATTCAGAAAGTTTTATTATTTAACATTTTGTTTCTAAAGACTCCTGGCGGTTCTGCAAGGATGTTGCTAAACAAGAGAAAATCGTCAATCCCTCTTCTTGTCAATCAATTTGAATTTGGCGTCATTATTATATCAGTGAATGTTATAGATATATAATAATTGTCTAAGCTTTGAACTGGCGGACGTTTTGAAGTGTTTCTCAAAAGTTATCGAATTTACGTCAAGAAATTGCAATCACACCCCACCATAAACACTTCTCTTTCTCTCTCTCTCTCTCTCTCTCTCTCTATATATATATATATATATATATATATATATATATATATATATATACTGTAAACAACAGATAAGGCTAAATGCTTTGCTCGGTAATTCTCATCCAACTCAACACTCGACTATTCCGTAATACCCACAGCTGACTTTCCCCCTAGATCTGAGATTCGAATTAGTCTTGTCAGTGCGTAACCCCATCATTGGTCTTAGATATCATCTCTGGATTAGACTCTCATAAAGCAAGTGGATGTGACGGGATAGCAGCCGTAGTCATTAGGAAATATGCTTCTGAGCTGGTTCCAGTTTTGCCCAAACTATACAAATATTTCTTCGGTGATTCTTGCTTTCCAATCTGTTGGAAGTCCTCTTCTGTTGTTTCTGTTTTTGAGAAATCTAGATACCCTTTTAACCCCCTATAACCACTACCCTATCAGTCTCCTATCACTCTTCTGGAATGGCTTTGAGGCATTAATCAATGCCGAAATGATTAAGCATCGTAAATCCCATAATCTACTCTCTGACAAACAATATGGTTTCCCTATCGCTAATGTGCGTACGGCCATAACTGAATATGTATACCAAGCTATTGATTATGACAACGAAGCTCGAGCTGTAGCTCTAAATACACAAGGATTATTTGATTTAATCCAATCATTCCTATTAAATTATGAAATAAATGTCTTCCTGAACGGGTTCTCTTCCAGTTCATTCCATACGAACTTTGGTATTCCTGAAAGCTCTATCCTTGGTCCTACACAATTTCTGATCTTCAATGATTTTCCTATAACCATCAACTCTCACGTAGACATATATTCAGACAACACTACCAATTACTCCTGTCTCTCTAGAAAATCTGTCAATGCTGACAAAACTAACCTGACCGTTTGTCCCGAAAATTACCTGCCATCATTGGGTAACTGGGGTAGAAAATGGCTTGTACATTTGGATGCTTCTAAAACGAAACTCCTCTCGTTTAACCAAAGTACACAAACTTACCTGCCACCTATCTGCATGGTTGATGCTCGACTTGGGGAGAGCATCTTATTCCGCCTTGTTATCTTCACGTTTTCCATAGACTTGAGCGAAGGCAATCCACCATTCTTGCATGCATTGAATACTGTTGCCATATCTAGTTTGTTGCCCTACTTCTCATCTAGAGGTCCTCGACAAAATCCAAAGAATTCGGTCCTGATTTGGCATCTCGACTCCAGAGACATTCTCATAGACGTGATATGGCTTCCCTTTTTCTTTTCTAAAAATAATTTCATGACAGCTACTCTGACGAGATATTTTCCCTGGTGCACCGACTGTATGAATTTGAACGTGCTACTAGCTTGTTCTCTCTCACTTCCCGACAGTGGAACTCCCTTCCTCTTATTTGTTTCCATGATAAGTATAATCTTCAAAAATTTATATGTAATATCAATTGACATCATCTGATGCCTTGATCCAAGTTCATCTTTTTATCCTTACCGCGTTCATCTTTTTATCCTTCCACGTTCTTCTTTTTGTCATTTCTTCAACTCCTCGCCGTACCCAGTCTTTTCGTTTACTTTCAAACTCTGTAGCCTCTTGCATACGGGTGACATTCCCACCTTGTTTTCGGTGAAATGCTTAAAAAATTAATCTGAAACTAAAATAATATAAATACTAATTGCATGAACAACATGTCCGCACTTTAAGTTATTACACATTAAATTATATCACTTAGCATCCTTTATTATTTACCTTGATTTTCAGTTAGCTTGATATGTAGTCAGGTGCATTTTTAATCTTAGAAATCCTGAAACTAATTATGCGTAAATGCAAAAATTCGTTCTTTGCTCGGTTTTTGAAAAGCAACAGTAAAAATCACCACCATTGAATGGACAACGTGACAAAAATAATATAAAACACAAGAGAGACGTAACTAACAAAACAAACGCACAATTCAAACCTACCTGTAACCGCAAAGCAAAGAATGAAAGTTTCTTAAATGTATGTTGTTGAAAACAATACAATATGCTAAGCCATTGTAAAATCAGCAGATAGCGAAGAAAAAATATACATAGGAGAAAGAAAAAAACCCTGGAAATAGAAAAAATGTATGCACAAAACATCTTTTACAAACAGTAAATACGTGAATAGAACAATGGTGCTGAACATTTTTTAAAAAATTAAAAACAAAAACAAAGCTATAACAAAAATATCAAGAAAAATAAGGAAAACGACATCGGCCTTCAAAAATCAAAAATTGCAAACCCTATATGGAGAAGAAAATAGCTATAAACACTTTCCCAGACGACCAAACATTACTAAATAAACGATCAGAATACATTTTAATATGCGTGAATTAAAAATCAAAAACTAAAAAAGAATATCTTGAAAAATACCACCATG